AAGACCTGGAATCAACCCAAATGCCCATCGATGATAGACTGGATTGGGAAAATGTGGCACATATACACCATGGAATATTATGCAGCAATCAGAAATGATGAGTTCGTGTCGTTTATAGGGACATGGATGAATCTGGAGAACATCATTCTCAGCAAACTGACACAAGAACAGAAAATGAAACACCGTATATTCTCACTCATAGGCGGGTGATGAAAAATGAGAACACATGGACACAGAGAGGGGAGTACTAAACTCTGGGGTCTATAGGGGGGAAAGGGGAGGGCCAGTGGGAGGGGGAGGTGGGGAGGGATTGCCAGGGAAGAAATACCAAATGTGGGTGAAGGGGAGAAACCAAACAAAACACACTGCCATGTGTGTACCTATGCAACTGTATTGCATGCTCTGCACATGTACCCCAAAATCTAAAATGCAATGAAAAAAAAAAAGAGAAAAAAAAAAAAGAAAGTGGTAAAAGAGACTGCAACCAAAAAAAAAAAAAAAAAAAAATGCAAGATTTAATTGTCACTTTCACGTTTGAGGTATAAGAAGGTGAATTTTTAAGTGAAGAATGTGTGGCTTTGCTGGACCCTGTGTTTTATATCATCCTAGGGTATGATCCGAAGAGGGCTATCTAGGGTGACAGGAGGTGCATTTACTGGGGAAAAGAGTACTAATGGCAGAACACTCTGGGCGCAAGTCTGAGATGAATCAAAGTCTTTTGAACCATGTTTTAGTGTTTACAACATAAAATGATATAAATAGCAATATAAAAATTATTTTAAAAGCTAATCTTTCAAATATCCAGCAATTTGGCAAACTAAGAATACATTTTAATGGGAAAATATATGTAATAAGCCATTATACTGAAAACACAAATAAAAGAGCATTCTCACCTTTCCTTATACATTATAACAACAATGACCTAAAGCAATTAGACTTTTGTCAACCTTAGGCTGGAAAGCCAAATGTTAAAATAAGTTAGGTGTATTAAAGCAAATATTTCATGTGAAAGTACTTTTAAGGACATAATCATTATTTTCACTATATAGATCTAACCAAAAATAACTGTAATTTTTTTGGTCCTTTTTTCCCCCATGATGACAATGTTTTCCTACTAGATTAACAAAATACAGTAATGTAAGCAAACAAAAAAATCAAGAAATCTGGTAAATTAATTCAAGTCCTGTTATGAAACAGTGCCATGCTCTTGATTAAGTAAATCGAATTTCCTGGGCCTCAGTTTCATCAACAGTAACTAGAAGGGGTGATAAGATCTTGAGTTTTATGCTGGATTTAATGTGCCGTAACTTTAAGCTATCACTTTCAAACTAGATGCCAAATATAATTAGCAGTACACAATTATATACTATAATCCTACAAAGACAACTGTTGATTGTCTTCCCAACAGCCATTTTATCCTTTATTCTTAACTATGAACCTCACTTTTTGTGAATATCCTTTTTTAAAAATTTTTAATCAACCACTGGTTAGCCACAAGAATAGGATTCAATTCTGGTCAATGATATGCAATGGGAAATATCCTATGCGGCCACTGGGAAAGGTTTACCTTCTGAAAAAAGAGGAGCACAAGAAAAGATGCCACTCAGCCAGCCCAAAACAGAACTGTATGAAGGTGTTATACGAGACTTTGGCAGAAATTTTGGAGTTATTTGTGCAGTCCCAAAACAAAGCTTGTAGGTCAAGACTGGCTGAGCAAAAATGAATCTCTGATAACTTGGTTAAAAACGTGAACAATTATCCTTATAACCTCTGATTGCCTGACTTTATCTTATATAAAATATTAAATTTCCTTATTTTAAACCACTTTTACTTAAGAATTCTGTTATTTAAAGCTAAAAATTTCCTAGTGATTATGAAAATTAATTTTAGGTGTCCATTAGACTGGATTGAGGGATACCCAAATGGTGGCTGAAGCATTGTTTCTGGGTATCTGTGGGAGTGTTTTCAGAGGAGGTTGAAGCGGAGTCAGTGGACTGAGAAAGAAACATCTGCCCTCAAGGTGGGCAGATACCATCCAATCAGCTGGGGCTGGGACAAACAGGTAGAAGGAGGAGGACTCTCTCTCTCTGCTCTCTTTTCCTTCCAGAATGAGACACCTTTTCTCCTCCTGTCTTTGGACATCAGACTAGGTTCTTCAGATTTTAGACTCTGAAACTTGTACCAGTAGTCTCTGGGGACTCTCTGGTTTTTAGATTTGGACTAGGGGATGCACAATTAGATTCCCTGATTCTGAGGCTTCTGGACTGAGTGATGCTACCAGCTCTTCTGTGTTATAGCTTGCAGGTAGCCTATCATGAGACTTCTCTGACTCTTGGTTCGTGTAAGCCAATTCCCCCTAATAAATCCCCTCTCATATATCTTATTGTTTCTGTGTCTCTAGAGAACCCTAACAAATGATAAAAAAAAAGGAAACAAAAATATTTAAAGACAAAATTAGATTATTGATTCACCCTTAGCTCCAATCACTAATTATTAAATTATGTGTAGTAAAGCTCCATAAATGCTTATTATACTTATATTGTTATCTATCTTTGCATGAGGGAATAAAACATGCATTCTACGCTGAGGTCGATATTTTGCTCTAAACAAAAATCACGTCATGAAAAGGAGAATGTGTAATAAGTGTATATTCCTACTGGCAGGATTCTCCAAAAAGACATAACATTACCACAGCAACTTATGAAGCTAATTTTTATGCTACAATTAAGAACATAATAAAGAAGAAACTTAAGCATTAATAATTAAGTTCATTGCTGAATTTTATAGGATTCAAGGGTGGACTAGTACAAGAAACAACATTAATTTATTATGTATAAGTTCATTAGAGGGTGATATTTTTAAATCTGCCATTTAATGTGGTTGGTAAATCTGGACTAATAAAAAGTTAGGGCATTGGAATTGGCTGATAAAGGTTTGGTCATAATCTGCTAAGCAGACTTTCAATTTCTTCATTCCTCAAATCTTGGACAACATTTCTGCATTTTTATCTAGTACTTATTTATAAATTACTTTTTGCTATACAATAAAATAAATACATTGAGTCAACAGATCTGAGGAAATCAAAAAGCAAAGGAGAGAATTATAATGCATGGTTTTCCTAAAGAAAGATACTTTAAATTTCTTGTGAACTCCTACCAAACTCTCAAGGGTCAGCTAAAACAGTAAGTGACCTGTGACATTTTCCTGGTATCCTTTTTAGAGTGCCTTCTCACTCTCTTTGAGTCTCATGGCACATTATTTCTAAGTCTATTGTGGCATTCACTGTCACTTTGCATCAGCCTTGTTTCATGTAACTTGTGATTATTAGTCTGCAACATCTTTGAAGGCATGAATGCAGTTTTGTCACATCTGTACCCCTGAAGGATTTATCCATTGTCTTTCATGAAGGAGGTTAAATAATTTGTTGAATTTATGGAGATTGTAACATTTTTATTCTTCAAAACCAAAGCCTTTTATTAGAGTTTGTCCTTAAAAGTCTACTATTATAAAAGAACTCTCTGCCTAAAATTATTGATTGCAGTTTCTCTTTACAGTTCTACCAAAAATGTAAAAAGAAATAAAAGGAAAATGAAATTTAAAAAGTACAAATGTCAGGAATGGTACAAAGTGACTTTAATACAAAGAAAAAAGTGAGTAATTATAAAATTCATTTTTCCAGCAGGTATAAGATATCACTTTGGGTGCTAGTACCATCAATCTTTCTGGATCACAGAATGAAAGACTCAGAGTTAGTTACAATAGTCCTTCTCCAATGCCCTTCTTTTGTGGTTGGTCACCAACTCTAGCAAACCTCTCCTATATCAGTTTGTTATGTTTTAATACTAATTAAAATGATATGAGTAGAGAAAGTAATTACCGCCCTCCTTGACCAGCTGAAATTACACTGTGATTGGTCTGTGTTCCCTGTCTTCAGTTCCTCTCCTGTAGGTCCATCCTGATCATTGTTGCAAGAGTAAAGGCATTTTATCCCCCATAATGCCCACAAGACAAATTCCTGATTTTTATGCTGATATTCAGTATCCTAGTATATGCTTATGTCTCTGTTTCCAATACCAAACTTCAACTGGGGAAACCTATTCACACAATTTCCTTAACATATTTCACTTTTTCACACTCTATATTCTGTTCACGCTACTTCCTCTGAGCAAACAACTTTCTCTCTTACCACTACCAATGCAAATCCAATTCATCATTCCAGACTCGAACTGAATTCTACCTCTTCCTGCCTCTTCCACACTGTCTTTGATGTATCAGTTTGCATCACATTGATCTCTTCCTTCATCTGAATTCTATACTTCATTTTTTTCATACACCATTACTAACAATTAAATGAGTAGAACATTCTTTTTTAACAGCCAAAGATCTTGATAATTTATAGAATTTATATATTCAAAGTCAGGAACCATTTATTTTATCTTTTTATTACCCCTAAGTAACAAACAAAAGGCTCATAAAATAGTAAGCATCCAATATATTTTTGATTATTGCTATCGAGGTTTTGATGTGACAAGCCAAACGGAATTACAACTTGAAGGGCAACATACAATTAAAATGTATATTGCCATTGTGACCTCTACACAAACATTTGTTTTAAAACTAAAGTGAAAATTTATCTTTGCTACTAAATTAGAAGATGATAATATAACATCCATACTTAAATAATTCTGCTCTTTTAGCTCATTCTCAGACTTTGAGTACTGATGATAATGCACTCACTGTTTATTTTTGGAGTTTCAGGCACTTGTACTAAAAGTACTTTCCTATCATGCATAGCTGGATGTATATAATTATACAAATTTTAAAATATCCAGTTGATTTCTGTGGAGTCCTATTTCAATGTCTACATTTTAGCAATGGCTCATGAAAAGCCTGTTTCAATTCAAATTTTAAAAATATGAACAAAGAAATACTATAAATGAGTAAGCTATCAAAAGAAATGTATAAAATGTTTATAGAATGTTTAATATAAAGGCACCCACCTGTATGTCTATGTCAAAACCAATTTCATGAAGACTATTTACAATAATCAGGCAATTGTGCAAATACTGTTCAGAGGTTCTTGGTTGTGTATACATATTTATGAAATGAGACTCAATCTGTAAAAAAAAAAAAAAAATCAAACCTGTTGGTAATGGAATAAAAATTTCTGCTTTTTAAGTGCTCTCTATAGTTAGGCAAAGAATCATTTAAATATTAATATTTGTCACTAATAAATTGTTATAATTAAAATGCAAGAATAAATGAAAAGGTAGTGCTAGCCATTCAGATCCAGGTGTTTGACTTGAATGTAAGATATTTGAAAGAATCTGTTTCTAGAAAATAAACTTCAAATTTTAAGCACTAAATTTTTTCAGATAATAGAAGATCATTATGAATAAAAATGACTCTTACCAAGAATGGGCAATAGGCTCCCAACTGTGTTGCCAAAACTAGGCCATCTAAAAGGTCTTTGTCAAAATTTACTATCCATCTCTCAGAGGGGAAAACATCTGTTTTAAAAAAGAGGGAAAGTAAATACGACAATAGTTTTACTTTACTGAAAGATACCTATGGAAATTTGAGCAATAATAAAAGAAAATTTTGCTTCTGCTGGAAAACAAGAAGCATATTATATTGGAAACGAAAACAAAATTTAACCCCAGAAAATTACTATGAGAGTTATCTGTAAAGGCTTTATAAACAATTGTAAGCTGTCTTTTTATTTCTATATGAACTGCTTTGAAAAATATACTACAATGTGGTAATGGAAGAGAAATTCAATGTTTCAAACTTATTTGTTCTGTTGAGTACCTTGAGGTTCAAATGTTTAATCAATTATCGTCAATATGGGTAAGGATACTGAAAAGGCATAGAGTTACCTGTAACTTTAGAGTACTAGTGCCAGTTTCTTTATTTCTTGCAGAAATTTCTCCAGATGGCAGGAAAGTATGTGAAAGAAATTCAAGATTTATGGGTTAAAGAAACAAAATTGGCCTATAAACGGCAATACAAGATGGAGGAGTAGTAAAAGGAATTCTCAATTTCAGACATGATTGCTATGCTGAATCCAGAACAAAAAAGAACATATTTGAATTTTAAGTGAAGATGTGAAATACCTATATTGGGTGGAGTGTAATTTAAACAGTGGAAATAATTGCTATCTTGAATGTGACATTTTCTTTTACAGCAAGTTTCCCAAAAGCCTAGATTCTTTATGGTGTGAGACAATTTCTTGTCTGAAAACAAGAGGCAAATGGTGGTCTTTATAAATTCCCTCAAATCTCTCTACTTCCATTTTCTGTGAAGAAGAAAGCATGACAGGATACATCCATGACATGTGTATTAACTTCACAAACCAGGATTGCTTTACACCTGGAATCGGAAGAGTTAATTTTCACCCGAATCACAGATGACCTGGACACTTCACAGACAATCTCCAGTACTTTTTCATGTGAGAAGCTACAGTATTGAAAATTTCTATAAGGATTTCTATAGCATACCAGCACAATATCAGTCTAGCAAACAAAGATCACTAAGGATTTTCAACTAATACAAAGCAAACAACCTATTTTTCAAAGCATTGTTTCCTGATAGAAACATATAAATAACATTTTTGATACAAGATTCAATGTAATCAAATTAATGATTTTCTTAAACATACACTGCCAGTTGGCTAATAACCTAAATGTGCTTTCCTTTTTGTCCAGCTTTGATGTATAATTGCCAAATAAAGAGTATATGTATTTAGAACATAAATTTTATTTTGACATAAGCATTCCTTGTACAATGATTCCCAAAATCAAGCTAATTAACATATTCATCACATCACACAGTCACCATTTTGTGTATATGTGTGTGGTGAGAACGTAAGATCTACTCTCTTAGCTAAGCAAAATGTGCTTCTCTGAAACTATATTTGCCGCCCGTAGCTATCAATAAAAGCAAAATATTTCACTTTTGTAGTTAATATTTATTTTCTATGGACTAGAAGCAATGATAACTTTTGATCTGAAAAAGGTCATTTACTAGCCTTTTACACTGATAGAGAATCAGTCAGTTGGCAGTGGATATAGACTTTATCCACCAGATAGCACATCCTTGTCTCATACAGACATTAGAGGAGGGATAGAAATTACCTTGAAGGCACTTAACATCTTGTTGCAGGGAAATCGTATCCATAACAGGAAAACAACTAATTAAAATAATCCCCCAACCAGAAGTCAATGAATACATAACAACATAGCAACAGCTAATTGTTTTCCTGTTACTTCCAACTCTACCAATCCCAATTCAGGACCACAGAATTCATTATGTCACCCGCCCCACATTCTTTTGTCAACAGTGAAAAATCTGAATCCCATTATCTAAAATATATTAAACTCCAGAGTTTCTGCACTGCAAAAGAAACAATCGTTAGAGTGAACTGGCAACCAACAGAATGGGAAAAAATTTTTGCAATCTACACATCTGACAAAAGGCTAATATCTAGAATCTACAAAGAAATAAAACAGATTTACAAGAAAAAAACAAACAAACCCATTCAAAAGTAGAAAAAGGATATGAACAGACACTTTTCAAAAGAAGACATATATGAGGCCAAGAAACATACGAAAAAATGCTCATCATCACTGGTCATTAGAGAAATGCAAATCAAAATCACATTGAGATACCACATTGAGATAAAAACAAAGTATATTAAGACAAAAATAAAAGCACATTGAGATAAAAGTTTTGTGGGTTTATATTTTATATCAAATCTATGATCTACTTTGAGACTATTTTAGTATGAGATGTGAGGTATAGGTCAGTGCTCATTTTTTACATTTGCACTTCCAATTATTCAAGTACTATTTGTTGAAAACACTAGCCTTTCTTGATTTAATTTCTTTTGCTCTTTTGTAAGCAAAAAAACCTGAGTTGATTATACCTTGTCTCTCGATTCTATTCTATTGATCTACACATCTATTCTTTTGTTAATACCTAGTCTTAATTATTGTAGTTTTAAACTTTCTTCCACCTTTTCAAAATTTTTTTGGCTATTTTAATACCAATGCCTTTATATATATATTTTGATATCTATCTATAAGAATATGTGATGGTATTTTCACTGGAATTGGATTGAATCTATAGGCCAATTTGATAATCTAACAACATTTAGTCTTCCAACGTCATGTGCGTGTTATATTTCTCTAGTTCTCATTGATTTCTTTTATCAGTGTTTTGCAGTTTATAGCATACATATCTTTAACTTATTTTGTTATAGATGTTTATACTAAGTTTTTAAGTATTTCATCTATGGTTCTTTGTTAAATGGTATATATATTTTTTAATTCCAATTGTTAACTGCCAATATATAGGAATATAATCTAATTTAATTGTATACTATCATATATCCTCTGACCTTGATAAACACATATACTATTTCTAGGAGCTTTTTATAGATTATTTGGGATTTTCTACCTGACAGACATGTTTAATTTCAGCCCCTTTTTCAGGGCAAGAGGTGTTTGGTTTTCTTTCTTTCTTTCTTTTTTTTTTTTTTTTGCAATAGCAATGAGTATTCACCAGAGCCCAACGGGTGACAGTATGTGGTATCCTTAACATAGATGAACACATCTGTTCTACAGATATTGCTATGGTTTGAATGTCCCCTGTAAATCTCATGTTCAAATTTCATTGCCATTTCAATGGTTAATACCAACCAATAGAGGTGAGACTTTTAGGATATGGTTAGATCATGAAAACTCTGGCTTCATGAATGGATTAATGCTGTTATCTCAGGAGTGGGTTAGTTATATTGAGAGTTTGGCCTTCCTTTTCTGTCTGCCTTGCATGCTCTCACTTTCTATCATCTTCTCTAGCCATGGGATACCTACCATACCGTAATAATGCAGCAAGAAGACCCTCATCAAAGGCAACCTAATTATCTTGGACTTTGTAGCCTCCAGAGTCATGACCCAAATAAACTTCTATTGTTTATAAATTACCCAATCCATAGTATTCTATTATAGCAACACTAAATGGACTAAGAGATATACAGAAAGCTAAGCAAATTACCTGCCCCTACGCTAGGTACTAAGGAGTACATGTTCTCCAGACTCACTCTGGTCATTTCTGTGAGCAACATGTGAAGTTTGTGAAGATATGACCTGCAAGAAGATGCAGAATCTATAACTGTGGCCACTTGGAGCTTCACGATCTCTCACTAGTGTATACTTGGCCTCTACCACTATACCAATCACCGTAATTCAACTATCCTTAATAGTATCTAGCTCTATCTACAAGTAGACCATTGCTGTCATCTCATTTCTTCCAGTAAAAACCAAGTCTCCCTTTGTTGTCCTGCAATCTCAGCTTTCTGTTAGGGTTCAAGAAAAATAGAAAATTTGCTGTTTGTCTGACTTTCGTTGTTGTTATAAGGGTGGGAGAAAACAGTTTCCAGTTCTCTATCTACCTGAGTAGAAACCAGGGCACCTATTTTTGTTCAACCCATCACAACTTTGAATCTGCTTTGATATTACTTGTCAAGTACCAGTAGGCATGGGCTGTAGCTGTTCAAAAAGGCTCTCAGTAAGAATAGGATGGCAACGATTCTTCCAAGACGATGTTGTGAAAAAGTAAAGACAAAACTTCAAAGCTCTTCTCTAATCTCTGATCCTATGTCTGTATCTTGTCTTTATACTCAAGGCTGCTGCCGAGCCCTCATCACAGTTTATCACAGCTTTGATATATCAATGATTTTCTCTGCTTTTATGATACTTCCTTTGATATAAGCTACTCTCTCTTCTATACTCCCTCTAAGGATTTGCTACCCAAAGTGAGCTAAGTGAATCAGCACAACCTACATCAAATGGAAGCTTGTTGAAAATGCGGAATTTCTGGCCTCACTCAACACCTAGCAAAATATAAAGACATATTAATAAAATCTCCAAGTGATTTGTATTCACATTATCATCTGGTCAATGTTTGTTTTTTTGGAGAGAGAACCTGCAGTCTAATGTAGATGTCATTTGTCAGAAACAAAAACTTTCAAGTGATGCTCTACACATTTTTTTAAAAATTAATTTGCAAGTTATGTTTTTATTCAGTTTTACATTACATCGCTTCCAATATTCAGGTATATTTAAATAGTAATAAAATTACTGGTCTTTATAGTATTGTGAATTAGAGATGTGTTTGTTAATCACAAACTTTCATCAGAAATTTTAGAAAAAGTCAACTTATGAATATAATTATATGAATTTTATTTTAGATGACTATAACAGTACATTTTTATAAAAGTTATACTGCTATAAACTCACATAACACAAATTTCATGCAATTCACTTGTTCAATTCATTGTTGTTTAGTATAGTCATAGAACTGTGCAAGCATCACTACTATCTGCTTTTAAAATATTTTTATCAACACATAAAGAAACTCGATACTCATTTACTGTCACTTCTCATTTCTCTCTTCCCTCATACAGTGGGAATAAATGAATCGACTTTCTGTCACTATGTATTTGTCT